TTCTGGCTGTTCATCCGTGTGGACTTTGGCTTTGAGCCAGGACCTGAGTTTTGTGTGTGCATCCTTTTTACTGGCTTATTTGTATGCAGTTGGTTTTCCTTGCCGATCAAGCAGATGCATTCCGACTGAAGGATGCTCCAAGTTAGTCCACTCTTACAAAATGCTTGTTGGAAAGGCAGTGGGTTTATTCTTGTTTTCTCCACAAAGGATATCTAGAAGCCACACAGGGATGAGGTGAATTAAACCTGTACCCTGTAATCATAGACTAATGATAAATGATATGATTCAGATTAATTTTACTTATCGAATTCTACCCATGTGAATGATCATATATTTATTTAATGTACAGATGATTCTTGACAGTATTCTGCCGTGGCATGGAAGGATGTCAGCACACAAACTGATATAGGTTTCTAAAGAAACTAAACTGCCCATGCCTAGTCGGCAAATCATGATGATAATGATGACAACTATCCTAAGTAAAAGTAAAGGACCCTTTCCCAACCTACGGCCCACTGAGTATTTAGTGCTAGACCCATAGTTTTATTTACCAAATGGCACTCAATGAGTAATGAGGTCAACATCATGGAGGCCGCTGCGACTTTCTGGGACACTTTCAGCACCCATTTTAGGCTGGTCAACATGGCAGCTCAGTTCAGTTTAAAGAAATCTTGTTTCAATGTAAGTTCAAACCCTTTCAATTCAAGGGTCGGCAAGCAAGCACCTAGCTTTCCTTTATCCTTCACAATGTAGCCCTCAACTGCAAGACCCTGGGACTGCAAGCTGGAGCAGCCAGGCATGACATTCGCCAAGGGCATAAGATGTCTGAACGGGTGTCAACAGTCATTTCTCCTTCTTCTTCGCTTCCACCAGAAGTAAACTCAAGAAGAAAGTTCTGATTGTTCCTCCGCCTCTGGTCTTGTTCCAGAACCTGAGTTTGCATGCAAATCCATTTTACAATTCTGGGATATTTGTATGCAAACTGTTGATTCTTTGCCTCTCTGAGATGCACGAAGACTTTGTACGATTCCCCTAATTAATAGACTCTTACAACTGCTTTCTGGGAAGGCAGTGAGTCTATTCTTGTTTTCCCCACAATGGGGACCTGGAACAACCATGGGGAAGTCGTTTTATTCTTGCGGAGCTACTGGGGAGGAGATCGGAGCACCTATGGATCTGAGTCGGGAGTGCTGCGACTGTGATCATGGTCATGGTCTTCAATAATCACCCAAATTTTGTTCTTTCTGTCTTTTTTCCCTCTCAAACACCGAGATATTTTTTTAAACAGCAAAGTAAATAAATGGTGTGTCATAGTTGTGTATACTATTATTATTTTAAAACAACAATTATATAAAATAAATTATATCAATATGGTGATTACCAGATTTAATTTATATTATTGTATTGTTGTTTTATCTTTGCTGCTGTGAATTATCTCTTGAAAATAATATATACACCAAGTACTTCATTTTTATGAATACATACATCTTTAAAAGTGCCACGGCAGCATCAGAAACCAAACGTTACGTACCTTTGTCTGTTTCGTTCGTCGTTTACTTTTCTTCTCATCTTCAAAATTGAAGCTAGGGGGCTGGACAGGTGACCGAAACCCGAAACGCAAAAACCATTATGGCACATACAATCACGCCAATAACAGGAGCTGCTATATGTGGAGAAACCAGTTCTGTCAACTCCATTTTTGCTTATACGTGTCGAATTTCTATCGACAATTAAACAAACAAAAATCTTGGGATGTCTTTCTCCTGCTGATCCGTTTCTTCTACCATTAGAGAGATCTGCTGCTGACGTCGCTTGCGCTCTATGTCATCGATATTTGTTATCAACATTTAACACATTTTTTCTAAGTATAATTTTTTTCAATTGAAAACTTTCAAATAATATTGAATTATGCAAGAAAATGTAAATTTATGTTAATAAAAAAAAATATTGTAAATGTTATGACAAAATTGGGTAGACAAGAAGCGATGACGTATTCCACATGTTTATCGTGGATGTTGTCAACTGTTGAAGCAAGCTGAATCATTCTCTCTGCTTGTAGTTTGTAGCATGACTTGAATTCTTCACAAGTTCGCCTCTTTGTTTACACATCGCAGCCAGCATCTTTATGACAACTACTGTGTCAGTAAGTAATGTCACCTTCAGTTGTGTCTGCTTTCTAGAGCAAAATTAAAAATAGTTCAGTTTACGCTAACTTCACGTTACGGTGACTGCACTGACACTAGATGAGTAGACTCTGTAGATGTCGTCCGCGTCATTCATATGGACTTCGACTTCGTGAGCAACTTAGCAGTCTTAGTTAAGTTAACTGTGCTTGAAGTACTGAAACTTAAGTTATTAATGAATAATGAAAAATCACTTAAATCAGACTATGGTATAATACTGACTGTTGTAAATAAAATTATACAGTATCCTCTTCACTCTTTACTTTTATATTGTTTTTATCCTGCCTTACTTCCATTCCACTCGATCATCCCGCGCTAAATCGTTCTTTCACTTGCTTTTATTTGCTAATTTGGCCTTTGCAGTTAAGGCAGCAGTGGGTGTAGCTCACCCAGTACCTTCCCTGTCTTGTTCACACGTCTCTAAGTATATTTTGTGTGTGTGTTCGCCTTGGTAACCATTGTTTTATTCACAAGTTGTGAATTACAGTGATATGATATTCTAGACAATATCACAAATTGTTTTATTAATATTACATTACAGTTTTTTCCCCCTCAGTATGTACGGTGGAACTCCAATATTTGTTGTTTATGTAAAAAAATAGTGACATACTTTCTAAAAAAGATCCTTCAGCATGGGAAATGATCCAGATATACAGCATAGACCTACAGCCTAACTATACAGTCACAACAACAATTCCAGGCATAGATAAAAAGACTGAAGACATGTGACCTACTACTGCATGCAAAGACCCTTAAACGTGTCTACAACTCTTATCCAAAACCTGATTTGACACACGTATACACTGTAATGGATCACTAGAGGGAGCAGAAAAAAACGGAGGAGCTGGGTCATCATGCTGCAAGATGGGACCACAGTAAAAATGTAATGCGCTCTGGAAGACTCTCCCCAAACTTCAGAGCAGAGCAGCAAGCAATTATTGATTCAGCCAAAGTGCTTGAGGAAAGAAAAATTAAAAACAGCAAAATTGTTTTCCTTTGTGACTGCATGTCAGTCCTCAAGGCGACTCAGATCCACGAGACAACATGGAAAGAGAACTGACCAGCTAGCTAAACAGACTTGCAGAAAACAATCAAATCGTTTTCCAGTGAATCCCGCTCACTTCGGCATAGCAGGAAATGAGTTAGCAGACAGACTTGCAAAAAAAAAAAAAACAAAGGAGAAACAACACACCCATACATTGTCATTACCAGAAATCAGAACACTTATCAAGGGATTGTGGAGAGAACTAACAGTAAGCATCCACAAGATTCTATCAGCAGACTTAACAGAAAGCATCATACAACAATATTCCGTCTACGAACAGGACACTGCAGGCTTAACTACCACATGCATAAAATAAAGATTGTACAGTCCCCACAGTGTGCCTTTCAAACAGGGCCAAAAACTCCTCAGCACATTCTGCAGACCTGCCCACTCTAACATCGATCTGGAAAATCATTACAAATATATTTACATTACATATTAGCCTCTACTTATTATTGCTTTATTATTATGAAAAAGATTTACTGGTCCACTGTGCAAATTTACCTGTACCAGAGTTGTTGGCGTGAGATGGTTGAGGGCCTATGCTCCATTGGGGGCTAGAAAGGCAGATGAAGAAAGCTGTTGGACACTATCAAAAGATATGTCATCAAAACCTGTAAAATAAAAGTCTGAAAATCAGCTCCAGTGCATCAGTGTAAATGTATAGTTAGTTTAATACCAGTTCCATCTGATCGAATGGAGTTCATTAGACTGTATGTATTCTTTTGCACATAATGAGGTTTTGTTAATACGAACAGTTCCTGTCCTCATATCTTTTTTCTTTGTCGAACATTTTGAAATATGCCTGGCGTTGTCAAGGAAAAGACCCATTTTTATGCTAGTGGCACATCAGGCAAATGATACTATACTCTTATTATATTTAGGCTGGGTCGACCTTAGAACTAAGGTCTCTTTTGAACAAAAATTAGGATTCTTCTTCTTCTTCACGTTCACCAGCTGTACACTCTGGCGGAAAGTTCTGGTTGCTCGTCCACTACTGAACTGCAGTCCTGCTCCAGAACCTGAGTGTTGGCGTGTGCATCAGTTTTAGAGATCTCATTCTCTTGAATACAAACTGTTGGTTCCTTGCCTCTCCGGCAGATGCACTCCGACTTCAAAGGAAGCTCCCCAATTAGTCCACTCTTACGACATGCTTTTGGGGAGGCAGTGGGTCTTTTCTTGTTTGCCCCGGAACCCACACGGGGGTCACACTCAGGACCTTGGGTCGGCTGGTAGGCATCTAGCCACTACACTACCGCAGCTTGCATGCCTGGTATATAGTTTTAAGTATTTAGATATTTGTATTTATTGAAACCTACATAGCTGGATAGAATTGACACATTTGTAATGGGTAAAGAAACTTAAAACAGTAGAAGAGAAAGGAATATAAATATAATGGCGTAATTGTACTGATTGGTTGTGACAGATAAGAAAAGTAAACAATGTGTATTGTAAAATGTGAACCCTTTTCCTTGCCTTCCACTATATTGGGCATGTAGTGCTGGACCTATAATTTATAGACCATTCAGCACTCAGTCAGCGATATGATCAGCATTATGCCAGTCGCTTTTACTTCCCAGGACTTTACCTGGTACTCTGTTAAGGCTGGGTTGACCTGAGAACCATGGTCATTTTTGAAAAAAATGTATAATATAAAATATTGTGCTTAAAAGAGTTTATTCTCTGGTTATAATATATAGTTTTCTTTCTTCCTTAAAGAAATCTGAGGTTATCTGACATTCATCTATGAAGGCACAGAGACAGTATTCACGATGGGTGGTGAAGACAAGGAAAACCACATTGCAAGTCCTTCTATAACACAGGATTTGGTTCGGGATGGGTTTGATACATCAATGTCAAGGTTACTTCAGGATTTTACCAGGTAAAATTAAACACACAAAAAACGCACAAAAAACTGGTAAAATAGTAACGTAAGGTTACTGAATCCATCTTATTCTGTTTACATTTGGTAAAGTATTTTACATAAGACTAAAAAAAAGCGGTGTCACCTGTGTAATACCAGGGCCCTACTGGAAGCAGTAGGTGTGTTGGGAAATGAACAGGCTGGCTGATGATTCACCCAATGTACTATGATGTCCGTTTCGGTACTCAACTTATTCAGTGTCCTGTACCAGGAAGATACTCACTTGTCATCCTTTAGCAACTGTTAGTGCACCAGCTACTTAACTACTACTGTTGCATCAATAGTTTTAGGATGCCAATGGTAGGCAACAGTTTTCAGCTTCGACTCAAATGTGATGCCTGGACTACTGGGTTTGTGTCCTTGGCCCTTCAAATAGGCTCCATGTCATAGTAGTTAGATCGACATGCCTGTCAAGACAGTGATCTGTGTTGAATCACTAGCAGTCAGTTTCTGTTTATGGCAAGTACAGCTCTAGGATTGTCTCTGTCTGGTTAAAAATGGTTTCCTTACCACTGTGATAATTCAGTGGGAAGGAAACCTGTCACTCCATTTCATTTGTCATGTCCTAGAATTTGTGACACTTAACACTTCACATCCCAGTTATGTGCTCTGGGGCTACATTTATAAATAGTAGAAGCTGTCCATCAGATTCTTGGTTTTCTTTCAGCTCGATTGCCAAATCTTCTTGGATTGTAGATGTACAGCAGTCGCTGATTGTAGATGTACAGCAGTCGCTGATTGTAGATGTACAGCAGTCGCTGATTGTAGATGTGCAGCAGTCGCTGATTGTAGATGTGCAGCAGTCGCTGATTGTAGATGTGCAGCAGTCGCTGATTGTAGATGTACAGCAGTCGCTGATTGTAGATGTACAGCAGTCGCTGATTGTAGATGTACAGCAGTCGCTGATTGTAGATGTACAGCAGTCGCTGATTGTAGATGTACAGCAGTCGCTGATTGTAGATGTGCAGCAGTCGCTGATTGTAGATGTACAGCAGTCGCTGATTGTAGATGTACAGCAGTCGCTGATTGTAGATGTACAGCAGTCGCTGATTGTAGATGTACAGCAGTCGCTGATTGTAGATGTGCAGCAGTCGCTGATTGTAGATGTGCAGCAGTCGCTGATTGTAGATGTACAGCAGTCGCTGATTGTAGATGTACAGCAGTCGCTGATTGTAGATGTGCAGCAGTCGCTGATTGTAGATGTGCAGCAGTCGCTGATTGTAGATGTGCAGCAGTCGCTGATTGTAGATGTACAGCAGTCGCTGATTGTAGATGTACAGCAGTCGCTGATTGTAGATGTACAGCAGTCGCTGATTGTAGATGTACAGCAGAACTGTTTGGGCACCTTCTCTGTGTTTCTCATTGAGTCTGAAAGGCTCCTATTGAAACATCACATCCTATTTTTCTTGAGTGTGTACGTTTTTCCCTTTTCCCGTTTGTTAACCTTCCTAGTCACAGTTAAGTGGATTAATTTCTTGGAATTAGCTAACTGCAGTCACCCCTGTTTTCACCACTTTTCAGTGTTCACATCATCTTTCATTCATTTACCCGTAGGCAAAAAAAAAAAAATGCTGTAAATTTTATTGTTGTCTTGGCTCGAGGATTGTGAATGTCTTTTCAGTCTTCGCATTTCAGGGTTTGAAGCTAGCCACAGGCCATTTTGTAGCAGGCCTCTTTAAGTTGATATTGACAGCATCATGAGTGTCCTGCCATTTGAGAAAAGAAAGCAAACTACTAAAAGCAAAATCGGTTTGTAAGCCAAACAGCAAATAAATGATTTGGTTGGTTTGTGCCATCTTAAAGATGATAATATCACTCTTTATTTAAAAAAAAAACATATCTCTTTTAGTAGCAGAAAATTTTGTTTTAAATATTTAAGGATATAAACACAGTAAAAAGAGCAACAGCTCACTACACTCAGAGGAAAGGCAGGACGGACATATAATCATATTGTGACCGGTACCATCAGTATTGGAACTCTGCACTGGGTGCTGACGATGAGGACGGAGCACACATGGGAATGCCCCGAGTACTGTGATGTCAATTCTTTATTAAACTCAACTCAACTGAAAAGAGCATGAATGCATTGCTTTCAAAGAGACCTCATTCACTGGGCCACATATGAGCATATCTAACCATATTTTTTTAGCATGCTCAAACCAAATGTAAAATGAATAATCATGCACCATTCTTTGTTTGATGCACACACTGTACATTGGTGGGGATAGAAAGGATGAACACATAATTGTTCTTTTTATGTTTTCAGTGCAGAGTTGCTTGTCAATACGCCCGAGATGTCAAAGGAAACAAATTCTTGTTCAGATTCTGTTTGTGAAACTGTAATTAACCCAATGAAACACTTGCACTTGCGTAGACCTGCAGTCACTAAAAGAAAGAAGAGCAGCGCCTGCTCTTTGAAAAAGAAAACCTCGCCAAACTCCCTCAACATTGCTATAGCGGCCTGTAAATTTCAGCGACCCATTGTTTGGCCTGCTCGTCTTAGTGGTCAGAGTGACCGGCTTAACTCTCAAATTCTGCGTCCCTCTCGTCTGTTGACAAAAGCAGAAGCAGCTACTGCTCAAGAAATACAAACACCAACAGACCCCCGCCCGTCTGCTGAAAAAGTGTCACAAAGGCAGAACTGCAGTTTCGTTTTTGGAAAGGCATCTGTTGTTGATTATTCTAGTCTTTCATTTTCTAGCCTTTGTGAGCAAGCCACAAAGAATATTGCTGAGGCCAGTAAAGATGTAGAGGATCTTAACTGTGGTCCTGCACCCAGCAAGGATACAGGAGCTGGTTCTGTGAAACCTGTATGTAAACGCCAGAGTTCCACTGATGCTCCTCCGGCTAAATTTGCTAGGACATATGGTGCTGGCAACAACCCAGGCACCAGCCAGGCAGTGTATTTAGATTACAGAGCACCAGGATCCACCCAAGCCTATGATTCTTGTAATCATCCTCTCATAAGAAATCACCTAGTACCTGTGAAAGTAGCCGCACATCAAATGTAACACTATGCAACGAACCGGCAGCAGCACCTTCAAGCCTTGAAACTCTGACGACGCTCAGGTTGGCTTTGTCCAGCTGTGGACAGGCTGTGTCTCAGGCATCATACTCTCAGGATATCAGTTTGGATGAAATTAACGCTAATGAGCTGGCAAGCTACCTCGAGGATCTTCTTCACATCCCCCGAAAGATGTCTGTCATGGCAGAAATGATGTATGCGTGAGTTTTCTGCTGTTTGCCCACACTGGAAACAAAACTCTTGTTGTGTTCACCTCCATGTACAGCTGGTAGTATTAAAGCTGGTTATGTAATCTCCTTACATATTTGCATTGTTATTTGTGGTGAAATGAGGTTTTTTTTCAGTAAGTTATTAAAATTACTTTCCATGCATTGCCTTCCCTTCATAAAATTGGGTGCTGTAGAGGGTTGGCTGATGAAACATCTTGAAGATCGAGTGTTAACTCTTTCGGTACCAGTAATTTGTTTAACCATTGTTTACTTTTTACTTTAAAACACTCAGTATTTGGTCTTAATGATTTAAAATAACAAGAGTCAGAAGTGGCTTTTTTCAGTCTGGATCAAGTGTAGGCACCGTCAGTCTCTCGGGACCATAGATTTGTGCCATTGGTTTTGAGGAAAGTGTCAGCTATGAATGTAAAGGCCCATTGTGGGAGTGGCAGTCTCGTCCACATTAAACATTGATACTCATTATACTGAGGATGGTTTTCTCTCTGATGCCAACTCTCTGTAGGTTGCGGTGTTCATTCTCTTGCTAAGTGCAAAGGTCTGCCTTTCATTGTCTGCCTCTGTCGGCGTCAGTCTGCAGCGGATCTCTGGCAAGTTTTTATCTTTCAGGTCCAATTTGCATATGTCATTATATGGCATACATTTGGCCTGTCTGTATGTTTTTTCCCTGTTTTCAGTTCACCATACATAAGATCTTTTCTATTACAGCCATCCTCAATGTGGGAGAGACATGTCTCAACCAGATCGAACGTCTTTGCTTTGGTAGAAAATTCATTTGGATACTGTGAATTATTAATATACTGTGGTAGAAATAAAACATAAAAATAGTATATTTTCTTGGATTATGAATGGTTAGTGAATTCCTTAATACTTGATATTCTGTTTGTGCGAGTCCTGAACAGGGCTTGTATCTGTTGAAGTTAGGTTTGTGTAGCGATTTTCCTCCCAATTTAGTAGTTATCACCTCTGTATAGGTTGTTACGAAACTCTTTCTTTTTTCCAAGCCCAGAAACCCACAGAATATACAAGGCCAGTACTGGAACTTCTCTCTGGAGAAGCTTATTAGGACGTGGTTCAGGTCATGATGGCAGCTGTGGTAGCGTAGTGGCTAGACACTTGCTTGTCTTCCTAAAATGGTTACAGGGGATGTCCTGAGAGTTGACAGTGGCCGGTGTGATGTTGACCTCATCACCCTTACAAGTACCGATTGGTCTGTCTGTAAAAATCTGAGTGTAGCATCATCTGACAGATGTGTCAGTGGTGTTAAAAGGTACTTCTTTTTTAACTCATGTCATGATTAAGCACAACAAACTTGGTCGATGATGTTTCCTCTAACAGGCTTTAGATATTTAATTGTCAACAATCTACAATCTAGTGCTCAGAGAAAGAAATTGAGTATAGAAGAAGAACTTCACTTTTTTCCTTAAAAAAAACACACACACAACAAAAAACAATGTTGATTGTATGTTTTGATCAGCATGCTTCATGTTTGAATGTATACAGTCTAACTGTTTCTAAATGCACATCAAAACACTGTTAACATCAGTCAGAATTATTTGTTTTGATTTCTTGTTTTCCCATTTCCTTTCCAGATGTCTAATGGTAGTCTTTCAGTCCTTTTGCATTTCAACATAACCACATTAAAATCTTGATTGTGTTATTTCTAAAATGTTTTCACTTTCTGTTTTATTCTGTTCGATGATAAAATACATTTCCTTTGTCTCGTATTTAAAAAAAATAATACAAGTTATTTCCTCCTTTATAATTCATGTTCATTATAATGATTGATCATTTCTATTCCTTTTACTACTATAATAATTGATAAACTAATCATTCACTTTACAAATGCTTCATTAAGTTATTTAATGTTTACAAAATTTGAAGAAATTGTTAGCATGTTGCCATATTTTCTTTGTAGTTTTGTAAGTAGGCGGTTATTAAGCCATTGTATCCTGTTCTGAGTTGTAAAGATGGAAACTTGTCAGGTAGATCAGCGATTCCCAGTTGGTGTCAAACCCTGGGTCTCCATGGAAAGGGTTCGCGTTATTGTTTCGAAAAAAACCATTATCCATCTTTTGTTGCAATCCAAATAGAGAGATTTTTTTTTTAAATGACCTTTAAAAAGAAGTGGGTTTGTGGCAGGCCTTTGAAAATAAAAGGGGTTGGCCGGTCTTATCAAACTAGGAATCACTGCAGTAGATACTTTTCAGGAAATTGTATCTGAAAAAAGAGCAGGTAACTTGCTAACTAACTAACCTTGTGTCCTGGCTTAGAAAATGTGGCTTAACACTTTACACTTGAGCAGCAGTATCTGTTGTTGGACCACATTAGCACCTCTCATGCCAGAGGGTAGTTGAAGTAGTTATAAATGAGCACATGATATGTTTATTGCTACCCAAACGAGTTAAAATAGTTATAAATGAGGACATGATGTGGTTCTTTGGTACCCAGAGGACAGTTGAAATAGTTATAAATGAGCGCATTATGTGTTCTTTGGTACCCAGAGGACAGTTGAAATAGTTATAAATGAACGCATTATGTGTTCTTTGGTACCCGGAGGACAGTTAAAGTAGTTATAAATAAGCACACAGTGTGTTATTTGGTAGCCGGGGGACAGGTAAAGTAGTTATAAATAAGTACATAATGTGTTCCTTAGTACCAAAAAACACTTAAAGTAGTTTTAAATAAGGGCAATGATGGTTCCTTCGTAGTGAGATAATTTTATTAAATTATTAAATCAAATCCCACCCAGTGAAACAACAAAAAGAAGTCTAACAAAATTATTTAGCATTTCCTCTTTCTCAGTATTTCACACATTGTGTTCTATACTTTTCAACGTTTGTGCCTGTATTTATTTAATAGTTTATAAATGTTTTGTATACTACAGAGCTCATCTAATATCCAGTGTTACATCATTTGTTTTTTTTGGACAAATTACCACAGTTTTTGCTTAAAAAAAATGTGTGTTAATAAATTGTCAGTTTTTTCCTGTTTGTTTGATAATTTGTCATTTTTTGGGCCAGATTATCAGTTTAACGAATTTTCAGTCTGTTTGTTGACTTTTCAGTTTTTTAGGGACAAATTATCAGTTTTACAAATTGTCACAGTTTGTTTGATAAATTACATGTTTTTTGTTGTCAAATAAAAATGAAAATAACTGTAGTGACTCGGGTACTTAGTTATAAATCTTTCCCTGAGGGTTGCAATACTGGGGTGACCCTTTACTTCCTGCATTAAAAGAATGCCTTCTATGGATTTTGTACTTAATAATAAAAATTATCATCACCAGAGCTATGGAGTGCGTGCTGTATGCTTGATAATATCTTCAGGTAGCAATGGAGAGAGTGGGAAGAGGAGAAGACAAGGAAATGGAGAGTGAAGACGGCAGAGATATCGGATAGCTGGAGCCTGGAGAGTCAGGCAAAGGAGTTACCAGGGGATCTGGCCGACGATCAACACTCAGGGGGAGGATGAGGCGGATATATAATCAGTTACTGGTGCCATTGGAATTGGAACTCTTCGCTTGCTGCTGAAGATGGGAACAGAGAACTTATGGGAATGTCCCGAGTGCTGTGGTGTCGATTCCCAATTCAACATTCCCATGTGGGTTCCGGAGTCCAATGGAGGGCAGGGGAAAAAGGAGACCGTCTGCTCTTCTCACAAGCATATCATAAAAGTCGACTAATTGGAAGTGTTGCCTACAAAGTTTGGATGTATCTACATAAGAGGCAAATTAGCCAGATCTATCAAATGGATGTGTATGCAAAACTCAGGTTCTGGAACAAGACTAAAGGTCAGAGGTGGACGAAGAACCAGAACTTTCTGCTGGAGTTTACAGCCGTTGTACGTGAAGAAGGAGAATTAATGAGACATAATCTTGGGAAGAAAAAAAAAGTTTGATGCAGGTAAAGGTGTGAAATTAATTTTGTTGCAGTCTGTGCCATCGGGAAGTCAGAAGTCAGCTTGGAGGGGGGGGGGGGGGGGGGGGGGGGGGGGTTATTATTGAGAAGAACTTTGCTTTTCTGCTTATATATAATTGCACACATACATAATTAAGAATCTAAAATAAAATAACCTACTTATATTCAGTATAATCTATGTCAATTCATAGAAAAAGACGACAACAGGGGACACAAAATTATGGCAGCTTTTTTACGCTAGAAATTGATGCCAGTTATGTGTTTGTGAGTGTTCTTTGATTTCATAATAAATTTGAGGGTGTGTTCTGACTACTGCAGTGGTTTTCATTTTGTTGGTTCAATAGAACTAGATGAAACAGGGTTACAGGTACTAGTTAGTTAGTTGCGTATCCTTTACAGAACGTTGCAGAACTAAATCCAACAGCCCCTGGCTGTTGTTGTGTGGGTTTTCTAGGCAAATTTACCTCCAGTAGTTTGCCAATGCTTTCTGGACACTGGTACCAGTATTAGAGCAAAAATTGGAATAAGACCATATCTGGAAAATATTGACAGGCAAAGAATGAAATGGTTCGACCATCTACTGAGAATGCAGCCAGACCAGACTGTATATGAGACTTTTTACAGTGGAATATCTGGGAGGAAGGCGAGAGGAAGACCAAAAAAGAGATGGATGAATGGTGTCGCTAAAACCTGCAAAAAGATAAATCCATCACACAAGTTACCCAAGAAGCGCAAGACAAGTACAGAAAATCACGACACTGGGCTACAACCTGGTATCAGAGAGACAACAAAAGAAGAAGGTTGAATAGATCAATAGGAGTTGAAGTAAAAAATAGGTACATTTTTGTGGGTGGTTCATCTCCATAATGGAGGTCGGTTACAGTGCATCCACTGTAGGGAATATTACACAATACCAGTCCAAAAGCTGTGACAACAGAATGTATTAATCAAGTAATGAAGAAATTAGAGGCTTTTGAATGTAAATGTAACAGAAGTTTCTTAGAATAAAGTGGATCAAGAATTTAAATAGTATAATAGAGACAAAATATAAATGCAA